AAGTTAATACTAAATATTTTATCTTTAAATAAGAAAAAACAGGAAGAGAAAAAGAAAAGCGTACCTGGTAATTAATGTGGCTTGACAAATTGTTCGGTTAACATGAGAGAGAACTAGCAGGACATGTGACCTCCTTCAGCACTGCAAACGTTATGGTAAAAAAAAATAAAAAGACAAGAATATGAATCTTATTATTTTTTTTAGGTAAGACTGCATAAAAAAAGACATTATTAATCTATTTTTAATGAATTAATACATAAAAGATAAGTTACTATTAATAAATTGGTATTTTTGCACTGGGACTATACTTTTTTATGCTTTCTAAACTAAAAAATATGTTTTCCTAAGAATAGGTATTAAATAGTACATCCGCCTTAAAACAGTATAAGTTTTTTATTCAAAATTTGTTATGGATTAATAGTCAATTTTTATATTAAAAAATAAACATATTTTTTTTCTTTAACTTTATTATTATTTTTTAACTTTAATCATTTATTCTATCATTAAAAATCTCCTTTTTTTTTTATAAGGATAATGATTAATAGTTAACTTAAAAATTGTTAACAACTGAAAATTCGATCTCAAAACAAGTGATCTCCCACTTTCTTATTAAGAGGCGCAACCCATCAGATCACATGGTGAAATTCTCTTTATTTTTACTCTTTTTAAGGCAATATGGGTAAAAGTAAAACTTTAAACTTTTTTGAATTTTGAATTTGAAGATAAAATAAAAGAAATATTATTCTGACATAGAAGAAGTGCATCTTTGCCCACAAAAGCATATAATAAATTGTTAAGAATTTTTAACATTTATTTTTTGAGTCTATTTTTTTCAATCTAAATTATACTAAATTTTCAAGCTAAATTATACTAAACAGTAAAAAGAGGCTCTTAAATAAAGGTATAAATTTCAAATCTGGACTGCATTAAACATTTCTAATATTTTTTTTCTAATTTAGAGTCAGATATATCTCCAGAAGTTTACACATATATGGACACAATCCCTTTCTAATCAATTATAAAGGACACCTCTATTTTAATTTAGTGTATTCAAAGAAGATGAAGGTGTAGGATAGGTTATTCTTTCAAGAAAATTTGTTTGGAGGATATGTTTAAAAATTTATTTTTTGATTAATATTTTTAAAAACTAACAGTTAGATTAAAAAGTTATATTCATATAAATCATACCTATCAATTTTTATATTGATATAATATTTATAATTTTTTAATAAAAAAATTGTATTTATTGACTTATATTTAACAATGTTAGATTTCTTATAATCAATAAAATGATTAGGCCAACTAGAATAATTTAAAAATTAGCATGTATAATCTATACAAATAAAAATTTTAATCTAACTATTAGTTTTTAAAAATAATAATTTGAATTTGAATTTTTAGACAAATTCTCTAAAAAGAATTTAAGAGGATAGCCTACAAGATATTTTTCTCTTCAAAGAAATTCAAAGTTAAACCAAAACTTAAATTTCTTAATTATGCATCAGAGACAAGTGAATGAAGAACAGAGCCAACATACCAGTGAATGGTGTCCCTGAAAACAGTTGGTAACAATTGGTAATGACAACCAGAGGCAAATTAAGCAGACAACAATAAATGGGCCAAAGAACATTTATAGAGGTATAATGGGAAGGAAAAGAATTCAAAAGTTAAAGTTAGAATCAATATTGATTAAATTTGAAGGTTGGAATTAAACAATAAAAACAAAAAAGAAATAATTGGAATAAAATATTAAAAATAAAGTTGCTGAGATGAGAAGCAAGGAACCGAAGACGTGTTTCTTCATTCAAGAAAAGAATGTGTAATATAAAGAGCAAGAGGCAAAGACGGTTGTCTCTTTGTCTAAGGAAGGCTAAATTCAATAAATAATTTATTAATTATATGAT